CACTTTTAAAATTATAACATAATACTTTCTCTGTCTCATAAATATAGTTTTAATGAGATTGGACACGAGTTGGTAAAAACTATAGAGAAAAAACTTTTTTGCCATTGTGAGTGTATTAGTGTAAAAAGTAGTGGCAATTATGTAATAAAAATGAAAACATAAGAATAATTTTACGGTGATATAATTATTTATGAAAATAAGACTATTATATTGTGACGGACAAAAATGATAAATAAGACTATTGTATTAAAATGGAGGGACTATATTAATGTGGTTACGATCTATAATAAACATGGTCGTGTTGATTCAATTATATAATATATTATTTTTTCGTAAAGAGATAGTAGTATTAAGGGATTAAGTTAATTAATTTTTAAAATACTCCTATTTTGTTTTTTAGTGTTTAAGAAATTTTAAGTTTTTGTATTGTTTGTTAGTAGAAGTTGTAGATGTATTTTTTAAATATAAAATGTTTTTGTTACTTTTTAAAAATATTTTATAAGAAAAAAAATGCAACTGTATCATATTAAAATTAATTCTAATTATTATAGTAATTATAACACACACCTATAATATATAAATTTAGGCTATATTTAATTAAATATATCAAATTAAAGGTTCACTTTTTTGTTATTTTTTCAATATTTTATGAGAAAAAAAATAAAATAAAAATTATAATTTTATTGGCAACTACTCCTATGTCCTACCAAAAGTGATGATTTTTATGGATTTGTTCGTCCAACTAAAATTTGTTGAAATCCTTTTCAATTAATATTATAAAAATATAATATATTTATACAAAGTATAATGTATATGTAAATACACTATTTTTTTAGTCAAGTATCTGATCTATTGTATTTTAAAACTTTAAATGAATCATGCATAAAAATTACTCTGCAATTATTTCTTTATCCCGCAAAATTAGTCATCCGTCATCGGAATGACATATCGTTAATTATATGACTCGCCGGTGCTAATATGGTGCTGGCGTATATGATTTGTGAGCACCACGTGAATAACAAGTGGATTTTAAAAAAAAAAATATTTACATAAAAAAAATAAAAAATCACGTGTCGGCCATGTAATTTTGACAGATCAAACATGTCAACGTCAAATCATCATCGGAGAGCCATATCATCGACGGTATATTACATTTGATCATTTTGGTAAAATAAATTTAATCGCGGGAGAGTTTTCATACAAGGTTCATTAGAGTCCTAAATAAAAATAGAATCAGGTACGTGATTAAAAAAAGTCTACCATATATATGTATTCTATTCAGTAAAAAATTAAATAATTTAACATAAAATATCACATATTTTTTATTATTCAAATTTTTTTTCTCTAAAAATATCAAATTAAAAAAATAATTATTTTTTAAAAATATTATACTACAAATTTATTTACATTTAAAACATCACATCGATATTTATTTATATAACATCAAACAATTATTTAAATTCATCTTTTTATTATTAAAAATCCAAACCCACAGACAAACACATAAGTGTTTTGGATGATTTGTTTTAGGTTAGGTATAAAAAAATATATCAGTAATATAAATAATAATATTTTGTATTGAATTACTAATTTTTTACTAGTTAATAGAATATATATATATTATATTATATTAATATGAACATATAACATATTTTTTTATAATATTTATAGGGAATCGTACCACCGAAAAATATTGAGTGAACGAACTCATAATTTAAATCAAATAAATCATAATTAAAATATGTCCCCCATCCCATCTTAATTGACACATTTTTTATTTCTATATGTTCCATAACAATTGAGATATTTATATTTTAGGTAAAACTTACTGAATCAAAATATATTTAACAAATATAAATTAATTTAATTAACTACATAACATATAATATCTTACATTATCTAAGACCCACTTAAAATCCTTTATTTTTTTCTCTCCTAAAAAAATAAATATTTTATCTACATTTAAAAATCTACTTCTTTTATAAAATTAGTTTATGTTAATAATAAATAAATAAATATATTATTTACTTGTATTATAGAAAATTTTACCCATTACAAACAAAACAATTTCTATATTGAATATATTTTTTGTATTGTGATATAATTTTTAAAATATTTAAATACATATTCTATTTTTTTTAATCATATATATTAAATTTATTTTAAAACTATCAATAAATTAATTATATAAAAAAGTAATAAAATAATATTAAAAGTTAGTATTATTCATTAATTAAATTATTCATTAATTAAATATTATTATTTTAATAATGTCTCCCTAATAAACAAAAAAAAAAAAAAAAAAAAATCAATTATCATGAAACAAAAAAAATCAATTATTATATTAAACACATTTATAATGAATATGGCCCATTCAATAAGTGGCCCAGACTCAGTTTTATTTAGCCGAATCAAATTTATATACTGCCGTAACAATCTATCTATTTTTTCATTTTGGTTCGTTCCATAACAATTCATTTCATTTTTTTTTAGTAATTGTACTATCTACTTAACATTACAAATATCCTTCAAATTTACAATATATTACACAAATGTCATTATCTTTATATCATACAATACTAATAGGGTTAATTTAGTCTTTTTACCTTTATTTTTACTTTATCACAATATAATACTAATATTTCTAAAATTTCGTACAAAAAGCAAATGAATATATAAATATAAGAATTGAATACGTTTGTGTTATGGTTGTATTTATTATTGATCACATGCAAATTTAGCTTTTTCTTTATCAGCATATTGTGTTATTATTTTAACAATGGAATCAAAAGTTATTTAAATATTTCTTTATTAAAATTAATTTTTGAAAAAATAAAAATAAAAATTCTAATGCTGCTTCACTTCTCTTTCTCTCTAAATTCTAATATATTATATTGATTAATTCAATACCCGCTAGCAAGGTCTCTGCTTCCCAACTTTCAGTAGATTGGGTAGAATATGGTCGGATGATGAACAATCAGCAAAATGCCACTATGCAGGCTATGTTAAATGGTCAATACAACTTGATGCAAAATATATAGTAACAAACTCCGGCCAAAATAATCATTCAATCGGCCACAACTCCAATAGATTCATCTCTTTCTCGTATTCATATTGTCCTTACTATACTGTCATTCGTGGATAGCATCATACTAGCATCTAGGGTGGATAAGGGCAAAACTCATTCCACTTTCCCGAATAACATTCCACAGGGTCAAAAGTATGTAGATTCCTCTTTACCATATATATATATATATAGAGAGAGAGAAATGATTGATTATAGAGCTAATAATTTCGAATGAAAATACAATGTTCCGCCTACTAGAGTGACTCTAGAGGACATGACTCAAGTTTTGAGATTTCATTTTGGAATGAAACTACGAATGACTAATCCTCCAAGTTACCAAATGTCATTTCCAAAAAGATGATAATTTAACTTTCTCTTCCAAATAATTTTCAACCATTTAATTTTCATACATTTTTAAGAGAAAAAAACATCTACAATTGAGCACTTGAGACACCTCATTGCCCAATTGGAAAGTTGGGATATAATCCCTATTTTAAGTTGCAATTATTCAGCCTTCTTTGACAAAAACTACTTTCTTGTAGTTCGCAAGATCGTAACTAGGATAGTTCCAAACTTGGGAGCATATGAAAAGTGCCTTCGACATTCGATTGTACAATCCGGTGCCCACGGTCTCATTGACTGACTTGCTTAAGGCAAAACAAATGCTTGAGGAGAATGTTGTATACTTCATTGAATGAATCTAACATTTGAAATGACAATGTGTTACGTTCCTTGAATAAGATGAATTGACCAATTTAGTGGTCCGAATATAACTGATTTGTCTCATTTGATATCAAACGCTAAATGATTAGAGAGCCTTTTTTTTTTTTTTTGAAAAAAATTAATCACTTTGCAAAAGCAAAGTGCCATAGATGATTAGCATAAATCTGGAATCCTGTTATTTAATAATGGATAACATGCATAAAATTGAAAAAATGACAGTTGAAATAATAAAATAAAAATTTTATGTTTGTTCGAAATTAATGCTTGCACTTAGAGATGAAAGAAATGAAGATCGGCTATCATTTGATATCTTTTAAAAAAAATGATATTTTTTATGTTTTTTTGGCCAATGAATAGGTTTGTATATTAAGCGATGGGCTTCGAATGAAGAAATCAAAGACCAACATAATTTATGAAAATTGTATAAAATTTGACTATTTGACAAAATGTTAACAAAAAAATTAACAAAAAACTGATAGTACCAACAATTTTGAAATCATAAATAAACAAATAGTAATCTTGTAGATACATTTTATTCGACGAATTTAAAAATAAAATTTAAATTATTTGTAGTTCAAATACTTTAAAATTAAAGTTGATCATTTGACAACATATTTAAAATATCATGCTTCTTCCGTCCCATTGAAAAGTTGTCGTTTTTCATTTTCGTCCGTCCCAAAACAAGGTTACTATTTTCTAATTTAGTAATTGTACTACCTACCTAACATAATAAATATCATTTCAACTTACACTATATTACACAATGTCATTACTTTTATATTATATAATACTAATAGGGGTATTTTTGTATTTTTTTCACTACAACACGTTATAATACTACTGTTCAAACATCAACTTTGAATAAAAGAATATCTTATGCAAACTTTAAATTAATATAACGAACTTCAAATAATAAATAAAATACCGGATTTTTATATATTTTTTATTAAAATAAAAGATTGTAATATACTATAATTTATGCAATAATTCCAAATAGATTTAATAAAAAATCTTTCCCAAAGAGTTCTAAAGTTACTTTTTTATTTAATTTGTCGTTATTAATTATTTGGATCATATTTACATAATTGACTTGTGTCGTGTGCCAGTGATATTTCCATATTAGTAGCTAATCCAATTCCAGAGAGAATCTTTCCCTCAAGAGATGAGATGACAGATTCAGTAAATATTGGACGGCGCAGATTTACCTGGACTTCAACACCCTGGACCACCTAAATAGCACACTCTGCTGTAGTCTTCTACTCCTAGTTCATAAGTTCAACAAACTAACCGACGCCTACATTTCACGCTACAAATATCTCTCCGATCGATCCATTCACATCTCAATTCCGCCGGAAATGGCTTCCGATCCCACCGGAATCACCCACGACTTCCCGCCGTTCTTCCGGATCCACGCCTCCGGCCACGTCGAGCGTTACCAGGAGCACGATTTCGTCCCGCCGTCGACAGACCCCCAAAACGGCGTCGTTTCGAGAGACGCCGTGGTCTCGCCGGAGAACAACCTCGCCGTCAGGCTCTACCTCCCCCAAACCAAAACCGCCGCCAAACTCCCCCTCCTCATCTACATCCACGGCGGCGCGTTCTCCGTCCAGTCCGCCTTCTCCTCTGTCTACCACCCCTACGTCAACTCCCTCGCCGCCGATTCCAAATCCGTCGTCGTTTCGATCGAGTACAGACTGGCGCCGGAGCATCCCCTCCCAGCCTGTTACGACGATTCCTACGCCGCCGTGAAATGGGTCGGCTCTCACTCCCGGGTCGGGCAGGGCCCCGACCCGTGGCTGAACGAGCACGCCGATTTCGAACGGGTCTACATCGCCGGCGACAGCGCCGGCGCCAACATCGCGCACGACGTCGTGGTCCGATCGGCCTCCCCGGCGGAAAATTTAGGGTTAAAATTCTCAGGTCTGATTTTGATCCACCCGTTCTTCGGGTCGGGTAAGCCCGACAAATTGTGGGATTTAGTTTACCCTAACACGGCCGGTCCGAACGATTTCCGGCTGAATCCGGCGGCGGACTTGGCCCGGCTGTCGAGACTGAGCTGCGAGCGAGTGTTGGTGGTGGTGGCGGAGAAGGATTTCCTGCGGAACAGAGGTCGGTATTATTACGAGGCATTGAAGAGCAGCCATTGGAAGGGGTCTGTGGAGCTCTTCGAGACGCCAGGTGAAGAACACGTTTTTCATTTGCTTAATCCGACTTCTGAAAATGCGATTTCGATGATGAATCGCATTTCTAAATTCATCAACGCGCCTCGCCAGATGTCGCATTTCTAGAAATAGCGCTTTTGGTTTTAGTTAATAAGTCGCGTTTGTGTCGCTAAGCTCTTTTGTTTCTGAGTAGATTTTGTGGTTTGGTATTATATTATGCTGTGTTTGTTTCTGACTAGATTCGAACGTTGCTATTGAAACCTCGTATTGCGTATACGATTTAGTATGTTCTATTAATTATATATTTTTATATTTTCGTCGGTTCCGCGTCAATATATATATATATCTATTATAATTAAAATACTCATTTTGTTCCGCAACCAGTCATTGGCTTTTTGTCCGTTGATCTTTAAATATGAATTATTATATCAATACGTATTATAAATCAAGAAAAAAAATATATATATATTTATTAGTTTTTTATAGTACATATACAATGATATTTGTTGAATAAATTATTTAAATATAAAAATATTTTTAATATTAAAATAATGACGAAAAAACAAAATGACAACCTTTTTGCAGGACGGAGATAGTACTATTATTTTTTAAATTTCATGTCAAAAGTAAACGTATACCTAATGCGGGACAAAGAGAGTATATAAGTGTTTGTTTTGCGAGAATGTTGATTTTTTTTTTGTTTTTTTTTATGTGACGTATACGAGATCGTGTAGAAAATATAAAAAATAATAAATATGTATAATGTATTACTCCCTCCGTCCCACATACCGTGTCTGCTACACTGTAGACACGGTATTTTAGGAGAGGTGTAAATAGTGGATAATTAAGAATGTATTAGTGAAAATAATTATTTTTAATTAAAATTAAAAAAAATAAAATAAAAAATTTTTATTTTTCTTGTTTGTTTGGATGAAAGAATAAATTTTTTTGAATGACATGATATTCTATTTTCTTATTTCATTTATCTTTTATGTAAAAAAAATTGATAATTGAGAGTAGTTGATTTTACAATTTTTTATTATTTAATTTTTACAAATATTTTTTATAAAGTAAATTATGTTCATTTTGTAAGAAAATAAACATATAATCAAATATGTTAGCGGAAGCGAAATTTAAACAAACCTCCTGCCATTGCTAAAAATTAGATTTATTCTCGATATTCTCTTCTCCAAGCAAAACGTGAATTGGAGCCGTGGGAAGACGGTGTTGTCAGACTTTGGAACCCTTGGGAGGATGTTGCCAAACTTTGGAAACCTCCGAAGATAGTGCCAGATCGTGGAACCCTAGGATGATGTTGCCAAACCCTGGCTCTCAAATAGCGATGGTGTATTCTAATTTTCTGAGAGTAGGTTTAGTAACCCGTATGTGAGAGTATTTATAATCAAAAGAAAAACCGTCCATCACGATTTTTCTGCCACTTCTCACGTATATTTTGAATGTGATAGACTTAATGGGAGAAAAGTGGGCCACAATTTTAGGTTAGTTTAATTATATAAGATAATTCAAAAATAATCAAAATTCAAATATGATTAATTAATTAATTAAACTAACATTCTCCCACTTGGCCCACTCAAACTATCACAACATAACGAAAAACCTTACATACGAATCATGGCGGTAGGTCTTCTATAAACGAATGTTACCTTCCATGTATCACGATATGTCAAGCATCTCAAACTAAATTCACAACTTAATGAATAAATCTTATATTTATTCCGGGTTAAACATAAGCGAGTTTTCTCAATAATAAACAAATATGTGCACAATAAAGCGAGAAAACATCAAACTGAATAAGAGTCTCAAATAACAATGTGTGCAAATGAACTACATTGTAGAATCAAGTCCCATACTTGCTACGTGATCCCTGAAACTCTTTAGTGGCATGCCCTTAGTTAGGGGATCAGCAAGCATCAACTCTGTACTAACGTGTTCAATGACCACTTTATTTTCCTTGACACGTTCTCTTAAGGCTAAATATTTGATGTCGATGTGTTTACTTCGACTCCCACTCTTATTGTTTTTAGCCATAAATACCGCAGCAGAGTTGTCACAGTACAACTTAATCGGTTTGGAAATAGAGTCAACGACTCTAAGCTCGGATATGAAACTCTTCAACCATACACCATGCGAGCTAGCCTCGAAACATGAAACAAACTCAGCCTCCATAGTGGAAGTAGCAGTGATAGACTGCTTCGCACTTCTCCAAGAGATGGCCCCACCAGCCAACATGAACACATAACCCGATGTGGATTTCCGAGTGTCAATGCAGCCAGCGTAGTCCGAATCGGAGTAGCCAATCACTTCCAGCACATCAGTTTGTCTATATGTGAGCATAAAATCCTTCGTACCTTGAAGGTACCTCATCACTTTCTTTGCAGCTTTCCAGTGGTCAACACCTGGATTACTCTGATATCTCCCTAATACTCCAACAGCATATGCTATGTCAGGCCTGGTGCAAACTTGAGCATACATAAGACTTCCTACTGCTGAAGCATAAGGGATATTGCTCATGTGTTCCCTTTCAAAGTCATTTTTCGGACATTGACTCAAATCGAGCCTGTCACCCTTCACAATGGGAGCTACACTTGGTGAACAATCTTTCATATTAAATCTTTCTAGAACTTTCTTGATATAGGCTTCTTGAGACAAACCCAAAATGCCTCGATTTCTATCTCTATGGATCTTAATGCCAATGACATAAGATGCCTCTCCCATATCTTTCATATCAAAGTTCCTTGAGAGAAATTGTTTTACCTCATGTAACATCCATTTATCATTAGTTGCAAGCAAAATGTCATCCACGTACAACACAAGGAAGCAAATATGACTCCCACTAACCTTCTGGTATATACAGTGATCCATGACGTTTTCTTCAAAGCCGAATGAAGAGATAACATCATGAAATTTCAAATACCACTGACGGGAGGCTTGCTTCAATCCATATATGGATTTATTAAGCTTACAAACTAAATTTTCTCCACCACTAGAGGTAAATCCTTCAGGTTGTTTCATATAAACCTTTTCCTCTAGGTCACCATTCAGGAATGCTGTTTTCACATCCATCTGATGTAACTCAAAATCAAACTGAGCTACTAATGCCATGATCACACGGAGGGAATCTTTCTTAGATACCGGAGAAAATGTCTCGGTGTAATCGATTCCTTCCCTTTGAGTGAATCCCTTAGCAACAAGTCTTGCTTTATGTCGTTCGATGTTGCCATCAGAGTCTATTTTGGTTTTGAAGACCCATTTGCATCCAATGGCTTTTACACCATCAGGCAACTCGACAAGATCCCATACCTTGTTTGATGCCATAGAGTCCATCTCGTCTTTCATAGCACTATGCCATAAATCGGATTCTTTAGAATTCATGGCTTGTGAAAACGTTTCAGGATCATTTGCGGCTTTTATATCGTAATCTGATTCTTGAAGATACACCATGAAGTCACTAGAAATAGCTGACTTTCTGACTCGTGTAGATCTTCTTAATGTTGTTTCATCATTATCACGAAGAACTTGCTGACCAACTGATTCAACAGCATGTTGTTCAACATTTTCTTGATGTTCTTCATTAACAACTTGATCTACGTGATCATTTTCATCAGTTTGTGGAACTTCATTACTTAATCGTCTAACACGCGTTTGAACTTGAGGAGCGTGAAAGACAATCAATCTATCACTCAGCTTAGTAGGTTGATCTTTATAGTGATCTGTTTCAGAATGAGTATCTGGAATATGATCACTCCCACTAACCAAGTCATTCTCGAGAAATTTCGCATTTCTCGATTCCACAATTCTAGTGCTATGAGACGGACAATAGAATCTATATCCTTTAGACTTTTCGGCATATCCAATGAAATACCCACTAATAGTCCTCGGATCTAGCTTCTTTTCTTGTGGATTATAAATTCTCACCTCAGACGGGCATCCCCAAACACGTATATGTCGCAAACTCGGCTTCCAACCCTTGAATAATTCAAAAGGTGTCTTTGAGACAGCCTTGGTTGGTACCCGATTCAATACATACGCAGCCGTCTTTAGCGCTTCTGTCCACAAGAAGTGAGGAAGTTTCACATTACTCCTCATACTCCTCACCATGTCCATTAATGTTCGATTTCTTCGTTCTGAAACACCATTTTGGTCCGGAGAACCAGGCATAGTGTATTGGGCAACAATCCCATTCTCTTGAAGAAATCTAGCAAATGGACCGGCAGCTTGTCCATTTTCTGTGTATCTGCCATAGTACTCACCACCTCTATCAGATCTGACGATTTTGATCTGTTTTCCACATTGTTTCTCTACTTCAGCCTTGAAAACTTTAAAGGCTTCTAAAGCTTCATCCTTAGAATGAAGTAAGTAAAGATACATATACCGTGAACAATCGTCAATAAAGGTGATGAAGTATCTCGGATTACTTGCATTCATGTCTGGACAACAAATGTCTGTATGAATAATTTCCAAAAGATTCGAACTCCTTTGTGCACCCTTTATGGACTTGTTAGTTTGCTTGCCTTTAATGCAACTAACACAAGTCTCAAAATCAGTGTAATCCAGGGTACCAAGTATCCCTTCATTCACTAATCTCTTAATTCTGTCAATTGAGATATGTCCCAATCGACGATGCCACAACATATATGAGTTCTCATTCATAACACATCGCTTTAAACCAGCTGTGACATGCAGTGAATCAAAAGTAGTGTCGTTTTTCAATTTGATCGAATAAAGACCATCATTAATTTCACCACAACCAACGGTTCTAGATTCAAAATCCAAAACAAAACTAGAATCCATAAAGTGAAACGAAAAACCCAAGCATGATAGTCTCGATACAGAAATTAAATTTTTGGAAAAACTAGGAACATAAAAAGTCTTTTCCAACTTCAAAACAAAACCACTACTCAGCACTAAACTGCACGTCCCAATGGTTTCCACAGGCGAACGCATCCGACTACCGGAATAGATGAACTGTTCACTTCCCATTGGTTTCCTTAGGCTTTCCATACCCTGCAAGGTATTGGAAACATGGATTGTAGAACCAGAATCAATCCACCATGTGTTATAATTAATATTAACCATATTGGATTCATAACAGACAAATGCAGAAGGGATACCTTTCTTTTCGAGCCAGGTTTTGAACTTAATGCAGTCCTTCTTCATGTGTCCTTTCTTTTTACAGAAAAAACACGTAGACTCCTTCTTTATAACCCGCTCAGCTGGCACAGGTCCCTTCCCCTTTGTGTCATGCTTTCTCTTTTTGCCATGGACCGTTAGGTTTACTTTCTCACCTTCCTCCATCAGTAGTCTCTCCTCCTCTTGAACACACATGGTCATCAATTCATTAATGGACCATTTATCTTTATGTGTGTTGTAGGATATCTTAAATGGACCGTACTGATGAGGTAAAGTGCACAATATGTAATGGACAAGAAAGGTCTCAGACATGGTCACCTCTAAGCTTTTCAGCTGCGCCGCAATGTCCCGCATGCGCATTATGTGCTCGCGCACACCCCTCGCACCCGTGAACCTCATGGTGGAGAACTGAATGATCAATGTGCTGGCAAGAGCCTTATCAGACTTGACGAATTGTTCATCGATAGCCCTCAAAAGCTCTCTAACATTATCATGCTGATCGACAGACGCACGGATACCAGCAGAGATCTTAGTCTTTATGAGCATCATGGAAAGACGATTAGATCTCTCCCATCGCTCATAAAGATCCACATCATCTGGCTCGCTGGTTTCAGTAATAACCGGCGGCTCGTCTTTCCGTATAGCATAATCAATGTCCATCCAGCCTAAATGAAGGAGAATCCTCTCCTTCCAGATCTTATAATTATCACCAGTCAATTCAGGAATATCACATTTAATGTCAGAGAAATTCATAGGATTAAATGCTGCAAAATTAAACATACATGCTCATCAATAATCGAGACAAATAAGTTACATGTTCTACCAATGTAAACACGTTAAAACATGAATCTAGAGACATAAAACTTGCCTGTGGGCTAAAGTTTTACTCAATTAGATTTCATCAAAAACTTTACAATAAAACTATCAAATTGTGTTCCTTTTCTCAATTCCTGTGGGTAGATTAAGAAATACAACTCGATATTTTATCCTAATTACTCGTACAAATATAACGAGACTCCTGTGGGTAGATCTCATCACATCGTACATGATAATTACAATTGATGTCCATTAATGTGATTTCAAATAAATCATGAACAAAATTTTAATTAATCGAGGATGCTGTGGCTATTCCGCAATTAAATAAAATTTAAAATAAATCACAAACATCATGAATATATAGACTGAAGTTCACATAAATAAATCATATTTATACCATCAGCATGCTCCAATTAAAAAAAATAGTGCAGATATATGCAAAATAATAACAATAATAATAATAATAATTCAGCAACGCAGCATGATTCATCCTTATTCAAAATACAATTAGCTGCTATATATACAAATAAATAAATAAAACATAACAAATATAATATGCAGGTTTGCAGAATTGATTTTCATGAATGGATTTAGAATGATTTCACTTGCCATTAATCCATATTTGCAAATAACATATATATATGATTCTGGATGACATCATTAGAAATTCGGACTGAATGCAGATACATTAATGCGCATAGGAACATGTCGGATTTTACTAAATTAATTAACATGTGTGCGCCGCAACTCGGTTGTATAAAAACACCACAATCGATAACAAAACCATACAAATCTGATTTCGATTGCAGATAAATATCATCTCATATATTCAACACCGAAAAGCTTCCTCGAATAATTAATTGCGCATACAAGTCGACACAGATATGAAGTGCACATAAAATATTACAGAAGAATCTGAACACTCCATCGAAACGCAAGGAAAATTCAAAAATTTAATATTTTGCATAAATTAATTTCAAAATAAAATTTAAAATTTTCCTCAAGGAATGAAATTTTCTCAAATCGCAGGATCGGATTTTGATCAAGAAAATATCGCAAAACAATTGTTGAAAATAGAAAACCAAAATATTTTCAAATAAGAATTTAAAGCGAATCTTGATCAAGAATTTGATGAGAAGAGAATTCTAAGCAAGGCAGAGACAAAAAAGCTCTGATACCAAATGTAAGAAAATAAACATATAATCAAATATGTTAGCGGAAGCGAAATTTAAACAAACCTCCTGCCATTGCTAAAAATTAGATTTATTCTCGATATTCTCTTCTCCAAGCAAAACGTGAATTGGAGCCGTGGGAAGACGGTGTTGTCAGACTTTGGAACCCTTGGGAGGATGTTGCCAAACTTTGGAAACCTCCGAAGATAGTGCCAGATCGTGGAACCCTAGGATGATGTTGCCAAACCCTGGCTCTCAAATAGCGATGGTGTATTCTAATTTTCTGAGAGTAGGTTTAGTAACCCGTATGTGAGAGTATTTATAATCAAAAGAAAAACCGTCCATCACGATTTTTCTGCCACTTCTCACGTATATTTTGAATGTGATAGACTTAATGGGAGAAAAGTGGGCCACAATTTTAGGTTAGTTTAATTATATAAGATAATTCAAAAATAATCAAAATTCAAATATGATTAATTAATTAATTAAACTAACACATTTTGCAAAAAAAAGTATTATTTTTTATATTTTTAGTATTTAAATTTTTATAGAAAAAACATTTTGTTTAATCAAATATTTCATTTTAAATTTCTATCCAAATAACAAAATCATAATCAAAATTAAATAAAATAAAATAAAAAAATTTACTAACTAAATATACCAATGTTTATTTGATGAAATATTTCTTATTCCATTTACTCTTTCTTTTTTTTTTTATCAATTATTTTGTCCTCTTTAACAATTTTTTTTTTTTTACATTTTCAATTTAATTTTCTATTTTATTAAATAAAAGAATCAATTTTCAACTATTCCATTATCCAATATCATTTATATGTAGTTTTATTCTCTGTATTAAAAACATTATAATATTATAAGTGTAAAATATAGTGGCATTTGTAATAATAATTGTGTGTTTTATATATATAATCTGTCAAACAATCAAGAAACATCAACTAGAATGTGTCCAACAAATTGAAATCAAAAGACAACAGTCTTTCTAAAAATCAAATTTACAGAACACAAACAAAACATAATCCAAGATTAGGCAAAAGATTATGAAAGCAGTACTAGAACTTCCCTCTTTCGAGCTTCTTCCGGCGACCACACCCAGTCACGTGCTTCGGCTCCGGCGCAGCTTCGGCGACTTCCTCTTCCGGCGATTTCCAAGCGACTCGACAAACGATAGGGGTAACTATTCTTACGGCTCAGTCTACAACCTAATGACTCAAACTTAGGGACTAACCCAACCGTCTCCAAACAAAACCCCAAACCAACGGACTCGATCGACCCTAAACTCTAATCGACCGATTTCCCCCAAAACCTCACAAAGAACATCTAGATGAACAACTTACCGAAGAAATCGAACAAGAACGACGGCGATTTCGGCGAAGAAGGGAACCCCAAACTTACCGAGAAAAACTCGAAGAAGATAAACCAGAGGAGAGGAGAAACCCAGATTCTCAATCACGCTATACACTATCACTCATGAGAATGGGGTGGAAGGAGGAGTTATAAGGTGCGGATCGGGTCGGGTCGGATTAAAGGGTTTTGAGTTGTGGATTGGACTTGGTATTGAATTGGGCCAAAATATATCTAATAATAATAATAATAAAATATAAATAGTTTTATGGTGATATCTTTATTTGTGAAAATGAGACAATCGTTTTGGGACAAACAAAATTGATAAAAATAATACTATTAAATTGAGACGGAATGAGTATAAATTACGTACTACTAGCTATTCATTTGTTATGTATCGTCCAACTATATTTGAGGTATAAATTGATTTTGTTTGTATTTTATGTTTTATGATTTTGATATTTTAATATTATGACATCTTTCTATAATTTTTAGAATAAAAATTAAGAAATCAAATTATATAACACTACAAAAGAACAACATAACTACATATTTGTAACGAAAATTATGGATAATTAAAGTTAGCTGCGTGAACTTTAAGAACACAATTTAAGAAATTATATCCCTAATGTCATTAGTAAAAAAAAAATAAAAATAGTGTATTTAGAGATGAAAAAATTTCATTATAAAAATGCTATTTCTTATTGTGTAATTCTTTGCCAATTAAAAATCACAAAAAATAAAAAGAAAAACAAAGAAAACAAATTATTTTTATCCAAATGTATCGAAACTTCTAACTCGAACGGATGTGAGACATGAATGTGCATGCATGTTGGCTTGACCTACAATCGATTAATGCATGCTTGTTATCGATTATAGGTTATGATTTTAAACTACCCATTTTAATATTGTCAATATATAAACAGATTAATAATCACAATTTTTAACTATTCGTTAATTGAATCAAGTCAACAATATAAAATCAATAACATTTCAATCTTATTTGTTTTCGCATTTGTTTTTATTTCGAATGATATAAAATACCTTTGTATATTAGTAACTCTCTATTGAAATGACTATTACTTCTTACTTCTATAGACCTCCTTCATGTATCCTCACATACTCAACCATTGTTTGGTTATAGTAATTAAAAGTCATAAGGTTTAGCCTTCACTATAAATGATTCTACAATGTTGCAACTTGAACCAAGTTAATGAGATCTATAATCATTATGGTTTGATTTGTTTGGGTACAAATTTAAGTTTCATATATTTGAAGATTTTTTTAAAAAAATCTAGACATTATAAGTCCACATGAATTCCACTGGTACGAAACCATTTGGAGAAAGTCAAAAAAATAAATTGTGTGAGATTGGTTCAACGCAACAATATCATATTAGCGTTAGAGTCGGTTTATTCCTAACAACTGGTATTAGATTTTGGTTCAAATGAGTTCGTTGTTAGAGTGGATTGAGTGGTATCGGACATTGATTGTGGTTTTGCGAAACTCTCATTGACCTCATGATTGAAATATCATGTTGTGTCTTGTGTCGAATGTCTTCCTGATGTTGTGATGGTCGATTGACAGTATCTATATGTTTGGTCAAATAATCATTTCAATTTACTATTTTATTAATCAAAACTCAAAACCTATATAAGCAAACATATATTTAGGGTGTGTTTGTTGGGGGTTTGAATTTTGAATTGGGATTTGAATAGTAAAAATTTTGAATTTGAATAGTTGTACGATGAGATATAAATAGGTGTTGATGTGATGTTTTGAATGTAAAATTGATTTTTAGTATAATATAAAAAATGAAAAATAGGTGTTTGATTTGATATTTTTGGAGGGAATGAATAGCGGGATTAAAATCCAATCCCCCAAACAAACACACCTTTAGTTTATTTGATTAAACTTAAAAATATGAAATGTTGTCGCGCTCAATAAATCTTCTCTATTTTTGTATATGAATATAGCCAATATATTGTTGGTGAATCACATAAATATGTGTCTTCTTTACATTTATATTTGTTATTAGTCAATTAATCCTTATTAAACCTAAATAAAAATACATTAATATATAAATATCATTGTGTATAAAACAAAAGTTTACATAACATAAACATCTAAAAAATATATACAATTATTATAAAATATACTAAACAATTAATAAAATGAGTTTTTCTTGAGTTTATGTGCAGAGAAACTCAAAATAAACTCAACCAATTATTTATTATTATTATTATTATTATTATTATTATTATTATTATTTTTTTTTTTTTTTTAAAAAAAAACTAAAATATAATTTAATATTTATTATAATTATAGGGGAAAAAATATATACAATATATATGTCTTTTTGTAGATAATAAAATTTTCTATAATACAAATAAATAAAAATTTAAATATATATATATTTGGAATAATATAAATTCATTCAGATCATACAATATAAATTTTATCAATAAATTTAATACATATTTATATTATTTTATTCATTATCTATCAAATCAATACACATCAAAGCTCCTTAAACTCCAACCAAATCCAAACACAAAAGAAACTAACAAAATTCAAACTATCCCAAAATTCAAATAAAAATCAAATCCAAACCAAAATTTCTCCAAAACCCCGTATTTCTCTCCATCAAGAGAAACCAAACCTACAAAAATCCATTATCCATATATATTAGTAATAATTTTTTATTTCTATTTTTTATTCATTAGTGTTTTTTTTTTAGTGCTTATGTTAATTATGGCTGCTAAATTTAATTTAACATTTCAAATGTGTGTTTTTGTTATGTTCTACTGACTAGGCGATAAAAAATTAGAATTTTTCTGAATAAAATTATACCAACACAATTAGTAATATTATATAGAAAATCAAAATAATTTCTAATTGATTACAATTGAAAATAAATAAATAAATAAATAAAATGATGCTAATCAAATTTGGATTTGGAAAAAACAATAGACTAATATTTTAGAAATGACTATATTTTTTGGTTAATTATTTTTGTAATTTTAGTGATATTCTCACTTCAATCCCACGAGTCTCATTGAATCACGGTGGATGGAGCGAGCTAATTTATTTTATTTTATTTATTTTATCAGAAGCTTTATTTATTGTTGAGAGAATGACAGCTAAGCTCATAATTTGATGGCTAAACTGCACAAGATTTATCTATGATTTTATGAAATTACGTCAAATTCTCTGTGTTTTGCATCAAACTTCCTCGTAGTTTCGTAAAATCTGCGTCTAATCCCTCGACGGTCATTATTTAGTGGTATTTGACCTAAATACGACTCAAACTGGGAATAAATTTTAGAATATCTATTTTTAAACCCTTAAAATTACAAATATATTTATTTTTCTTATATTTAACTTAAAAAATACTAGTAATATACTCAAAATAGTTATTTTTCTTAGGTTTTAAAAATTTATTTTTACTGTTTTTTTAGGCTAAATATAAGAAAAATAAATATATTTGTAATTTTAAGGGTTTAGAAATTCAGATTCTAAAATTTATTTGCAGCTTCAACGTATTTAGGTCAAATACCATTAAATAAGGACCGCCGAGGGGGTTAGACACAAGATTTATGAAATCACGAGAGAGTTTGACATAATTTTAGAAATATGAGAGTAAATTTTGTACAATTTAGCCTAATTTGATCGAAGGAATCTATTTCAAATGTGTTGATTTTTAAAAGCTGTTTTCATATTAAAAATTTATATATTTACTATTTTTTTAATAATAAAAATCAATTTTAATACTTTAATAACTATATAATTTTTTAAAAAAAATATATATGTAATTATATGTACTTTAATTTAGAAAAGAAATAATAAAATAATATAAAATAAATTAATTCGTTATTTCATCCGTGCACTATGGACTAGTTATAAATGGAAACAACAGATCTGTACAGGCTTGGCCCCAAGCGTTTTTTTGGGACTTTTTGGGCCGTTTTTATTACTCTCAGACACGCTTTAACATTTTATTTTTTGTTTATCACAAATAGTTCATTTTATCTCATCACATCAATTAAATAAAAACAAATAAATATATATTTTTCTCTTCAATCACATCATCTAATTTTCAAATTATTTCAAATTATCCTATTTAATACTATCCCCTAAATTCTCATGCTAAATTCAAATGTTGCGCAGTGTTTGGGACGGAAGGAGTAAAATTTTAAAATAAATCTAAAATAAATATTTTAAATATGTATAATATTAAAGTGTATATATATTTAAGTTAATTTGGTCTTGGTTTGTATTTAAATTTGATCGTTTTGGTATGTCCAAACAGCTTGCAATATTTATAAATTAGGAAATAATTATTTAATCTATATCCTCACACTTTATCCTATTATATCTCTCTAATAAAAAAAAAAAATAAAATATACACTTCTCTCTCCCTCACATCACCTAATTACTTAATTATCCAACTTAATACTCTCACTTAAAATCATGCACCCAACTTAAATGTAGCACCTTATTTGGGACGGAAGGAATAATGATTTAAAAGTAAAAAAAATAAATCTTTTTTTTTTTTTTTTTTTTATAAAATTACTATAATTTTAAATCTATAATGTTGATGTATTAATATTACAAAGATTTCCAAAACTTCATGTTAAATGCTCAACTTCCATAAATTTTAAAGATTTCCAAAACTCATGTATTAGTTTTTAATTTTTAGACTCTACATTTTCTGAGATATATTTAAATAGATTTTTTTTTACAAGATATTACATTACATATTATCTAAATACAAAACTCAACCCTCAAAAGCCAATTCAAATCAAACTATATATATATATATATCTATTTGTATACATAATAAGAAATTTATATTTATTTTTCGGTTAACATGAACACGAATATGAGTTATGCAAAATATATGTAACTATAACATGTGTTGTTAGTTCATATGTTGTATTTGTATTATATTTTTATATAAAGAATGTACTGCCAAAAATAATAAAGTGTGCTGTTTGTTATAGCATCGTATGCTGTTCAGCAGCACTGTAGCTGTCACCCAAATAAAATCATATGAAACACACATTTTATTCATTCGAACTTCACAACACACAAAACAAACATCAAATAAAAGACATCACCCATCACTATTATACATCCACAAATATATATAAACACGATCACGCACGAGCTCGAACTTGTTAATTCCTAAATGGCATTGCCTCCATTAACAAACGAAACAACTTCCTCCAACATCTTCCGAGCCTTATCGGAGTCCGGGTTCGTAATATCAAACACATGTCCCTCCCCCTCGACCTCGAAAAATTTAATCGATCCATTCCACAAACTCTCCTTCAACGTGTCCACGTAAAGATATCCGCGGTCGCGAAGGATATCTTCCCCGGCGACATACACAAACAACTTTTTTGCCCCTAGACTATGTATATTTGGATCGAGGCTTGGATTTATTGCTGGGTAGTCGAATGTGGCCGGGACATTCGGGTACACAAGCAACCATAAGTTGTTCCTCATCACGACATCATCGGGCATCCCCTCTTCTCGACCAATCCGAGTACTTCCCCAAAAGTTCGGACAATTCAAAAATAGACCTTCTAGAACAACCCCGCTTTCCTTCTCTAACCCGGCGTGCATAACCGTGTTATGCGCAATATTGCCTCCGGCGCTATCCCCGCCTACAAAAGCCCTTCCAAAATCCGCGTAGTTTTGCAACCACGGCTCGGTTCCTTTCCATCCGTTAGACGGGGCGTGGGAAAACACCCACTTGATCGCGATCCACGCATCTTCGTACCCGATCGGTTGCTTGAATTCGGGGGCCAACCGGTAACTCACCGAAACGGCGATGACATTTCCTTTGGCGACGATGGAGCTTACGTAGTTGGTGTATGTCGTCGAGAAGGGACTTCCGGTTGTGAACCCGCCGCCGTGGTAGTAGATGAGGACGGGGAGCTTCTTCCACGGCTGAGGGATATCCGCCGGCAAGAAGATCCGGGCGGAGACGTTACGGGCTTCATCGATGATCACGTCTTTGGATCGAACTCCCGTCTTCGGATCGCCGTCCGGCGACGGCTCGACGAAATCCTCGGGCAAGTATCGGACGATGGTTCCATTCCTATAGACTCGAACGAAGGGGAAAACGTCTTGTAATATGTCTAGGCAATCGACATTGTCGAAGTCAGCTGAACATGAAATTATACGAGTGAGTAGGAGAAATGTTGTTAAGATTAGGGTTTTTGCCATAGTTAGGGTTTTCTTGTGTGAATATACACAAAGAAATGTATGTCTATTTATAGATATGTAAGGTGTTCTATATATTTAGTTTATAGATTGTATTATTATGTTCGTTATAACGTTTTGTTATATAAAAATATGTATTGCGTATGTATGGTATTGAACAGTATATATAAATTTATTGTGCTGCAAATCAATAATATTGTAGTTTATATTATAGTATCGTGTGCCATTCGAATATGTATTGTATATTTTATTATCATGTATTGATATTTTTATATTGTCTATCTTATATGTGTGTTGTATATATATATATATATTAACAGAGTCAAATTAACATCATACTGATACGATCGTATCAATACGATCATATCAATTATAGAATGACATGTCCCTCCGGACCCTTAGTAGCTTCACTATCATTTTCACAAAAATATACTTCTATTATTATTTTTTTACAAAAATATTATACGAATTCAAACAAAAAGAAAAAAAAAATCAATTTAAAAAACAAAACACAATTCTAAAAGAATAGGGAGATTCTTCTATCTATGGGTTAGGGTGCTGAATTGATTAAATCAATATCATACTGATTGATTAAGTTATATAGCACACTAATTTCAAGTAATTAATAATTTATCACAAATAAATATTGGATGTTATGTTATATAAAAATATATATTGTCTGAGTTATATAATGTGCTATTATGTATAATTTTTTATTGTACTAAAATTTCAATATATTATACTATATGAAATTATATAATTTGCTTTCAAAATATATGCTATATATTATGTTAAATTTTGCTATATGAGTTATATTGCGTTTATATAATATGTTTATTGTCTTAAAATTACAATATATTTCTACATTAAAATTATATAATGTGTTATAAAAATATATGCTATACTGTACTAGTATGTGTTGTCGGATATTTACTAATTTTCTTATAAATATGTATTAATTTGATCTAATTAATACATATAGTATTATAGAAAAATGATTTTAAAATAATTAAAAAAATATAAAAACTCTTAATTAGTTCTTACCACTATGCAACTTAAAAATACAAAAAGATAAAAAATAAAAGAAAATAGCTTACTATTTTAATATAAATATATAAAAATTTGTCCCGTGTCACACATGGTTAGGACTTAGGTGCATCCAATAAGCACATATTATAAATAGTTTAATACTCCATCCATCAGTTTATTTTAAAACTATATATTTACTTTTGGCTAAAATTTTTAAAATAATACTATTTTAATTACAGTAAATAGTTAAAAATAATATAAATATAATTTTGACTATACGTTTTGGTATAAAAGTAAGTTGTGATGGTAAAATATGTATACTTTGTGAGTGGACGGATGAACTATTTAATAATATGTTGAAGATTTGACCTTTAATAAAATGTATTAAGAAAAAAATTATCTTTTATTCTCGCATAATATTTTTTTATCATTTTATAATCATAACTAAACTCTATATTGGATTATTCTAACAACTAAAAAAAATTAATATAAATATTCCTTAGAAGCCGGAATTGGTTGATGTGGCAACGTCGTGGCACGTCGGAAATTTTGTGAATAACACGTGGATAATATTTGAGAATTATTTTTGCCAAAATTTTTCAGTTATAAGACTAATTTAACGTAGTATAATTATGGTCTTAAAATAATTGTCGAATGTTTCCTCACAAAATTAATTACTATAATTATATTAATAATATAATTTAATTTACAAAATAAAGTAATTAATTTTAAAGTCTCTCGGCATATGTTCTGAAACAATTATATTCAGTATAAAATCCAACTTCTTCCTACAGTCTCTGACGTTCCACAGTGCTGTCAATAAACAAGTTCAAAAACTATTTCTGCCCTCTGTTTGTTTGTTTTTTTTTTTTTTTTTTTTTAAATTTATTTATGAGATTAATTCAAGGTCTAATTATAAAATAATAATAAGGTCATATATAAAAAAAAGGAAAAAAATACCATTTTTTCATATATTAAATGTAAGTGAAGGATCACTTTCAATAGAAGAATAATTCTCTTTACAAGGCCCAAAACTTTTCTTTTTTCTCTTTTTATTTTTAAAAAGAAAATTATTGAATTATTTTATTTTTCATATTTATTTTCGTATTGTGTGTTATAATGCACAATTCTTTTTGTCTTTTTCTAAAAAATCTTTTGTATAAAATATTTTATTTTTCATATCTTAATTTTAATATTGTCATTTAACTTTGAATTTGTTAACAAATAATTATTTTCATATTGTGCGTTACAATTACATAACTTTTTTTTTTCTTTTTTAATTTGTATAAAATATTTTTGGTTGTTTATTTAGTATTTTTGGATGGAATAATTCCCTATAAATATTATTCCCTATGTGCCGCGTTAAGGTGTACATTAACTTTTAGCAAGAAGTTTAAAAAATAATAGTAGTATAATTGAAATCAGTAATTAAAAGTAGTATAAAAACAGTTTTGTCCATACTTTTTTTTGGGTGTAAAAGTAACCATGTGATGGTAAAACAGGACTATTTGTAAAAAAAAAGTAATGTCCATGGTTACTTAAAAAAGAAAATATATACATTGATGATGGACAATCGAAAATGGAAAAATATATACGTTAATGCAGGACGAAGGGAAGTAATAAAAAACATAATATACACATTAACACAATATATAAAATATATACTTTATCCACCGATGAAAAATCAACAATTAAATACAATATTATTTTTAATATTAGTAACATAATTTCTCCTATCAAACATAAAAAATACATTCATTAAAAAAAATATAAAGTAAACAAACCCTTTATTTTTTATATTTTAATTTTAATATTGTCGATTTACTTTAATTTGTTAACAAATAATTATTCTATATTGTTGGTATTTGTATTTGTTAATTAACAAATGATTATTCTAATATTGTGTGTTACAATTAGCAACTTTTTTTTTTCTTTTTTTCTTTTTTTTTTTTAATTTGTATAATATATATTTTTAATATCTTAATTTAATATTATCGGTTTAGCTAGAATTTGTTAAAAATATATTATTCTTATATTGTGTGTTACAATACATAACTTCTTTTCTCTTTTTATAATTTGTATAAAACATTTTGAGTTTATTTATTTAGTATTTTTAGATAGAACGACGCCATATAAATATTAATTAAAAAAAATATAATATACACAAATTAATATAATATATATATTAACGCTCATCAAAAGTCAACAATTCAATTAAAAGTACTAATTTTTATATTACCAATATAATTTCTTATACGTAAAAAAAATATATCTATCTAAAAATATAAAGTGAACAAATCTTTTATTTTTCATATTTTAATTTTAATATTGCCGGTTTAATTTGAATTTGTTAACAAATAATTATTTTAATATTGTTTGTTACATTGAAACTTTTTTTTTTTTAATATTTTAATTTTAATATTATCTATTTACTTTTAATATTTTAACAAATATTATTCTCATATTGTCTGCTACAAATATTGTGGGTTTATTTTTATTTTTATTTTTTTTAACAAATATTCTCATATTGTCTTTTTATTAATTTGTATAAAATATTTTATTTTTCATATCTTAATTTTAATATTGTCGATTTACTTTAAATTTATTAACAAATTATTATTCTCGTGTTATAATGGACTATACTTTTTGTCTTTTCTTTTTTTTTTTTTGTGTAAAATATTTTAATATTCATATCTTAATTTTAATATTGTCGGTATATTTTGGATATAAGAATAAATTATTATTTTCATATTGTGTGTTACAATACGCAACTCTTTTTTCTTCCTTTTTTTTCAAAAATTTTATATATAATATTTTATTTTTCATATCTTAATTTTAATATTGTCGGTTTAGGTTGAATTTGCTAACAAATGATTATTCTCATATTGTGTGGTACAATACGCAACTTTTTTGTTTTTTTTTTTCTCTTTTTTTGAATTTTTATAAAATATTTGAGTTTGTTTACTTCGTATTTTTGGAAGGAATGATTCCTTATAAATATTATTTTTTTAAAAAATACAATATACACATTTTAACACAATATATTAAATTTTTATACTTTATGCACTCATCAAAAGTTAACAATTCAACGAAAGATATAATTTTTTATATTACCATTACAATTCTTCACACCTAACATAAAAAATATATCCATTAAAAAATATAAAGTAAACAAGCCCTTTAATTTTCATATCTTAATTCTAATATTGTCGATTTACTTTGAATTTGTTAATAAATGATTATTCTCATATTGTGTGTTACGATGCATAATTTTTTTAAATGATTATTCTCATATTGTGTGTTACAATGCACAACTTTTTTTTTTCTCTCGTTTGTTTGTTTGTTTGTTTTTTTTTAAATTCATATAAAATATTTAATTTTTCATATCTTAATTTTAATATTGTCAGTTTACAGTTGAATTTGTTAACAATTGATTGTTCTTATTTTGTGTGTTACAATGCAAAATTTCTTTTTTCTTTTTGTAATTTGTATAAAATGTTTATTTTTTAATTTATTATTATCGATTTATTTTACATTTGTTAACAATTTATTATTCTCATATTGTTTGTTACAATACAAATTTTTTTTTGTATAAAATATTTTATTTTTCATATCTTAATTTTAATATTATCGATTTAGTTTGGATATGTTAACAAATTATTATTCTCATATCGTCTGTTACAATAGGCAATTTTTTTTTTCTTAATTTGTATAAAATATTTTGGGTTTGTTTACTTTTTTACAACAAAAAATACCCAACATATTTTTCCAAAAAAATAATATATTATACATTTCTTATTTTTGTAATACCTGCACAATTTCGTATAAATCACATCAATTTTATTTTTTCAAACCAAAACATAAAACAAACAAACGTATTGTATGTTTATGTTTGGATGAAACGATTTCCTATAAATATTATTAAAAAATACACACACATTAATATAATATACAAAAAAATTATATATACTTTATCCAA